TCTCACTCCGGTCCCTCCCCCAGTGGGACTGGACCCACTCACTCTGGTTCCCCCGTGGGACTGGGCCCCCTAACTCCAGTCCCCCTGTGGGACTGGGGCCCCTAACTCCAGTCCCCCCGTGGGACTGGGCCCCCTCACTCCGATCCCCCATGGGACTGGGCCCCCTCACTCCGGTCCCCCATGGGACTGGGCTCGCTCTCTCCTGAACTCCACTCCCTCAGGGAGCTGGGAGAAAGGGAAAACTACAAGAGGACAGAAAAAGAAAAAGAGGGGTACAATGATAAAGGGACTGGCAAGCAGAGAAGCTCCAACTAGAGCATTACACTCTGATGCCCCCTTGTAGGGTTCTTGGGGATGTTACTGAACAGAACAACCTTGGGGTGCAGGTTCATAGTTGCTTGAAAGTGGAGTCACAGGTAGACAGGGCGGTGAAGAAGGTGTTTGGTACGCTTGCCTTTATCGGTCAGTGCATTGAGTACAGGAGTTGGGTGGATCATGTTGTGGCTGTACAATACATTGATTCAGGCCACTTTTGGAATACTGTGTGTAATTCCAGTCTCCCTGCTGTAGGAAGGATGTTGTGAAACTTGAAAGGGTTCAGTAAAGATTTACAAGGATGTTGATGGGTTTGGAGGGTTTGAGCTACAGGGAGAGGCTGAATAGGCTGGGACTATTTTCCCTGGAGCATCAGAGGCTGAGGGGTGACCTTATAGAGGTTTATAACATCACGAGGGACATGAAGTTAGACCCCTGTTCAAGCTGTCTGCCTAAACGTTACCAGGACATCATTAGCAGTTTAGGTATAAGACTGTTCAGGTTAACTACGTACCAACTGTAAACGCAGGAAGCTTTTGAAAGGTACCTTCAGACTTTTAAAAAAAAAAGCCATGGTTAAAGCACGCTGTCACAGTCAGTTCTGAAGGACTTACTCAATAAGTCAGTCATGTCTCTGAACATTGAGAAAGACTGTCGGTTTCAGTGCAGCATTGCAAAACTCTCGTTACACAATCTCTCTGGGACAATGATCCAAACCTCATCTGAAAGAGAGAACCTTCCTCCATTCTGACCTCAGCCACCAGTCCGTGGATTTAAACACTCTTCCTTCTGATATTGGGCCTTGCTCAGTTGGTTCAGTTAGCTTGAAGCCAGAGTCTGTGTGTGCTTTCTAGGGTTTCCTCCCACAGTCCAACGATGTGCAGGTTAGGGTAGATTGGCCGTGCTAAATTGTCCCGTAGTGCCCAGGGATGTGCGGGTTAG